GTAGTATCAAGATATGTGTTGTATCAAGTTGTGTGTAGTATCAAGTTGTGTGTAGTATCAAGATGTGTGTAGTATCAAGATATGTGTAGTATCGAGTTGTGTGTAGTATCAAGATGTGTGTAGTATCAAGATGTGTGTAGTATCAAGATATGTGTAGTATCGAGTTGTGTGTAGTATCAAGATGTGTGTAGTATCAAGTTGTGTGTAGTATGAAGTTGTGTGTAGTATCAAGTTGTGTGTAGTATCAAGATATGTGTAGTATCAAGTTGTGTGTAGTATCAAGATGTGTGTAGTATCAAGATGTGTGTAGTATCAAGATATGTGTAGTATCAAGATATGTGTAGTATCAAGATGTGTGTAGTATGAAGATATGTGTAGTATCAAGATGTGTGTAGTATCAAGATGTGTCTAGTATCAAATTGTAAGTAGTATCAAGTTGTGTGTAGTATCAAGTTGTGTGCAGTATCAAGATGTGTGTAGTATCAAGATGTGTGTAGTATCAAGTTGTGTGCAGTATCAAGATGTGTGTAGTATCAAGTTGTGTGTAGTATCAAGTTGTGTGTAGTATCAAGATATGTGTAGTATCAAGTTGTGTGTAGTATCAAGTTGTGTGTAGTATCAAGATGTGTGTAGTATCAAGATATGTGTAGTATCGAGTTGTGTGTAGTATCAAGATGTGTGTAGTATCAAGATGTGTGTAGTATCAAGATATGTGTAGTATCGAGTTGTGTGTAGTATCAAGATGTGTGTAGTATCAAGATGTGTGTAGTATCAAGATGTGTGTAGTATCAAGATATGTGTAGTATCAAGATATGTGTAGTATCAAGATATGTGTAGTATCGAGTTGTGTGTAGTATAAAGATGTGTGTAGTATCAAGATGTGTGTAGTATCAAGATGTGTGTAGTATCAAGATGTGTGTAGTATCAAATTGTAAGTAGTATCAAGATATGTGTAGTATCAAGTTGTGTGTTGTATCAAGATGTGTGGTATCAAGATATGTGTAGTATCAAATTGTAAGTAGTATCAAGTTGTGTGTAGTATCGAGATGTGTGTAGTATCGAGTTGTGTGTAGTATCAAGATGTGTGTAGTATCAAATTGTAAGTAGTATCAAGTTGTGTGTAGTATCAAGATGTGTGTAGTATCAAGATGTGTGTAGTATCAAGATATGTGTAGTATCAAATTGTAAGTAGTAACAAGATATGTGTAGTATCAAGATATGTGTAGTATCAAGATATGTGTAGTATCAAGTTGTGTGTAGTATCAAGATATGTGTAGTATCAAGATATGTGTAGTATCGAGTTGTGTGTAGTATCAAGATGTGTGTAGTATCAAGTTGTGTGTAGTATCAAGTTGTGTGTAGTATCAAGTTGTGTGTAGTATCAAGATATGTGTAGTATCAAGTTGTGTGTAGTATCAAGATGTGTGTAGTATCAAGATGTGTGTAGTATCAAGATATGTGTAGTATCAAGATATGTGTAGTATCAAGATATGTGTAGTATCGAGTTGTGTGTAGTATAAAGATGTGTGTAGTATCAAGATGTGTGTAGTATCAAATTGTAAGTAGTATCAAGATATGTGTAGTATCAAGTTGTTTGTTGTATCAAGATGTGTGGTATCAAGATATGTGTAGTATCAAATTGTAAGTAGTATCAAGTTGTGTGTAGTATCGAGATGTGTGTAGTATCGAGTTGTGTGTAGTATCAAGATGTGTGTAGTATCAAATTGTAAGTAGTATCAAGTTGTGTGTAGTATCAAGATGTGTGTAGTATCAAGATATGTGTAGTATCAAGATATGTGTAGTATCAAATTGTAAGTAGTATCAAGATATGTGTAGTATCAAGATGTGTGTAGTATCAAGTTGTGTGTAGTATCAAGATGTGTGTAGTATCAAGATATATGTAGTATCAAGATATGTGTAGTATCAAGATGTGTGTAGTATCAAGTTGTGTGTAGTTTCAAGATGTGTGTAGTATCAAGATGTGTGTAGTATCAAGATGTGTGTAGTATCAAGATATATGTAGTATCAAGATATGTGTAGTATCAAGTTGTGTGTAGTATCAAGATATGTGTGGTATCAAGATATGTGTAGTATCAAGTTGTGTGTAGTATCAAGATATGTGTAGTATCAAGATATGTGTAGTATCGAGTTGTGTGTAGTATCAAGATATGTGTAGTATCAAGTTGTGTGTAGTATCAAGATATGTGTAGTATCAAGATATGTGTAGTATCAAATTGTAAGTAGTATCGAGTTGTGTGTAGTAACAAGATATGTGTAGTATCAAATTGTAAGTAGTATCGAGTTGTGTGTAGTATCAAGATGTGTGTAGTAACAAGATATGTGTAGTAACAAGATGTGTGTAGTATCAAATTGTAAGTAGTATCGAGTTGTGTGTAGTATCGAGTTGTGTGTAGTATCAAGATATGTGTAGTATCAAATTGTAAGTAGTATCAAGTTGTGTGTAGTATCAAGTTGTGTGTAGTATCAAGATATGTGTAGTATCAAGTTGTGTGTAGTATCAAGATATGTGTAGTAACAAGATATGTGTAGTATCAAATTGTAAGTAGTATCAAGTTGTGTGTAGTATCAAGTTGTGTGTAGTATCAAGATATGTGTAGTAACAAGATATGTTTAGTATCAAATTGTAAGTAGTATCGAGTTGTGTGTAGTAACAAGATATGTGTAGTATCAAGTTGTGTGTAGTATCAAGATATGTGTAGTAACAAGATATGGGTAGTAACAAGATATGTGTAGTATCAAATTGTAAGTAGTATCGAGTTGTGTGTAGTAGCAAGATATGTGTAGTATCAAATTGTAAGTAGTATCGAGTTGTGTGTAGTATCAAGATGTGTGTAGTAACAAGATATGTGTAGTAACAAGATGTGTGTAGTATCAAATTGTAAGTAGTATCAAGATATGTGTAGTATCGAGTTGTGTGTAGTTTCAAGATGTGTGTAGTATCAAATTGTAAGTAGTATCAAGATGTGTGTAGTATCTGGTTGTGTGTAGTATCAAGATATGTGTAGTATCAAATTGTAAGTAGTATCAAGATATGTGTAGTATCGAGTTGTGTGTAGTATCAAGATGTGTGTAGTATCAAGATGTGTGTTGTATCAAGTTGTGTGTAGTATCAAGTTGTGTGTAGTATCAAGATATGTGTAGTATCAAGTTGTGTGTAGTATCAAGTTGTGTGTAGTATCAAGATATGTGTAGTATCAAGTTGTGTGTAGTATCAAGATATGTGTAGTATCAAATTGTAAGTAGTATCAAGATATGTGTAGTATCAAGATGTGTGTAGTATCAAATTGTGTGTAGTTTCAAGATATGTGTAGTATCAAGATGTGTGTAGTATCAAGATGTGTGTAGTATCAAATTGTGTGTAGTATCAAGTTGTGTGTAGTATCAAGTTGTGTGTAGTATCAAGATATGTGTAGTATCAAGTTGTGTGTAGTATCAAGATATGTGTAGTATCAAATTGTAAGTAGTATCAAGATATGTGTAGTATCAAGATGTGTGTAGTATCAAATTGTGTGTATTTTGAAGATATGTGTAGTATCAAGATGTGTGTAGTATCAAGATGTGTGTAGTATCAAATTGTGTGTAGTATCAAGATATGTGTAGTATCAAGATGTGTGTAGTATCAAGATATGTGTAGTATCAAGATGTGTGTAGTATCAAGATATGTGTAGTATCAAGATATGTGTAGTATCAAGATGTGTGTAGTATCAAGTTGTGTGTAGTATCAAGTTGTGTGTAGTATCAAGTTGTGTGTAGTATCAAGATATGTGTAGTATCAAGTTGTGTGTAGTATCAAGTTGTGTGTAGTATCAAGATATGTGTAGTATCAAGTTGTGTGTAGTATCAAGTTGTGTGTAGTATCAAGTTGTGTGTAGTATCAAGATATGTGTAGTATCAAGTTGTGTGTAGTATCAAGATATGTGTACTATCAAATTGTAAGTAGTATCAAGTTGTGTGTAGTATCAAGATGTGTGTAGTATCAAATTGTGTGTAGTATCAAGATGTGTGTAGTATCAAATTGTGTGTAGTATCAAGATGTGTGTAGTATCAAGATATGTGTAGTATCAAGATATGTGTAGTATCAAGATATGTGTAGTATCAAGATGTGTGTAGTATCAAATTGTGTGTAGTATCAAGATATGTGTAGTATCAAATTGTGTGTAGTATCAAGATATGTGTAGTATCAAGATGTGTGTAGTATCAAATTGTGTGTAGTATCAAGATGTGTGTAGTATCAAATTGTGTGTAGTATCAAGATGTGTGTAGTATCAAGTTGTGTGTAGTATCAAGATATGTGTAGTATCAAGATGTGTGTAGTATCAAGATGTGTGTAGTATCAAGATGTGTGTAGTATCAAGTTGTGTGTAGTATCAAGATGTGTGTAGTATCAAGATGTGTGTAGTATCAAGTTGTGTGTAGTATCAAGATGTGTGTACTACAAGTTGTGTGTAGTATCAAGATATGTGTAGTATCAAGATGTGTGTAGTATCAAGAATTTTGTATTATCAAGATGTGTGGTATCAAGGCGTGTGTAGTATTAGGGTGTGTGTGTAGTATCAAAATGTGTGTGTTGTCAAGATGTGTGGTATCAAGGCGTGTGTAGTATCAAGATGTGTGTAAAATCAAGATGTGTGTGTTGCCAAGTTGTGTGTAGTATCAAATTGTAAGTAGTATCAAGTTGTGTGTAGTATCAAGATGTGTGTAGTATCAAGATGTGTGTAGTATCAAGATATGTGTAGTATCAAGATGTGTGTAGTATCAAGAATTTTGTATTATCAAGATGTGTGGTATCAAGGCGTGTGTAGTATTAGGGTGTGTGTGTAGTATCAAAATGTGCGTGTTGTCAAGATGTGTGGTATCAAGGCGTGTGTAGTATCAAGATGTGTGTAAAATCAAGATGTGTGTGTTGCCAAGATGTGTGTAGTATGGAGATGTATGGTATCGATATGTGTGTGATATCAAGGCATGTCTTTGTGTGTCAGGTGAACCCACTGAAGGATGGCTCCCAGACGTTCACGGTGTTTGATCTGTGTCTGGACAACATCCAACATCCGACCGGCACCGTCCACATCTCCGGCGTCGGCAGCATCCAGGTCGTAGTGCTTGACAAGGTAGGACCAACCGACTGGCATCAGCTTGTCATCAGTTAGGTTACAGTAGAATGGCAGGGCACTGAATTAGGAAATATGCATACTGTGTTTCAGCTGTGGTAAACTGAATTTGAATTAATTTCTGGTAGAGCACTTTGGAAGACCATGTTTACCTTTACCCGTGGGGATTCCAGGAGAGAACTGGTTCCCAGCGGGCTATGCTGGTTGTACCATGGGGATTCCAGGATAGAACTGGTTCCCAGTGGGCTATACTAGTTCTACCATGGGGATTCCAGGAGAGAACTGGTTCCCAGCAGGCTATGCTGGTTGTACCATGGGGATTCCAGGATAGAACTGGTTCCCAGTGGGCTATACTAGTTCTACCATGGGGATTCCAGGAGAGAACTGGTTCCCAGCGGGCTATACTGGTTGTACCATGAGGATACCAGGCTAGTACTGGTTCCCATCGGACTATACTGGTTGTACCTTGAGGATTCCAGGCTAGAACTGGTTCCCAGTGGGCCAAACCGGTTCTACTGTGAGGATTCCAGGCAAGAACTGGTTCCCAGTGGTCTATACTGGTTCTACTTTGGGGATTCCAGGTTAGAACTGGTTCCCAGCGGGCTATACTGGTTGTACCATGATGATTCCAGGCTAGAACTGGTTTCCAGTGGGCTATACTGGTTCTACTGTGGGGATTCCAGGCTAGAACTGGTTTCCATTGGGCTATACTGGTTCTACTGTGGGGATTCCAGGCTAGAACTGGTTTCCAGTGGGCTATACTGGTTCTACTTTGGGGATTCCAGGCTAGAACTGGTTTCCAGTGGGCTATACTGGTTCTACTGTGAGGATTCCAGGCTAGAACTGGTTTCCAGTGGGCTATACTGGTTCTACTGTTGGGATTCCAGGCTAGAACTGGTTTCCAGTGGGCTATACTGGTTCTACTGTGGGGATTCCAGGCTAGAACTGGTTCCCAGTGGGCTATACTGGTTCTACATTGGGGATTCCAGGAGAGAAGAGGCATTTGAGAGGATTGGGTGGTCGGCTTGCGGACGTCACTGCTGAGTGCAGTGTTAAACTAAACACACGCACACACGCACACACACACGCACACACGCACACACGCACACACACGCAAGATCCATATTGACAAAATGACTTGCTTTCAACACACTGCTTATCTCGAGCATCAAGTATATTAAGTAAGGTAGCACTGTAAATGCAGCTCACTGTCTTCACCTCTGCTTCATGTTCCAGGTCGAGGTACGGAAGGAGCTGAAGGCCAGGGTACAGGTCCTGGACGTCCACGGCAACGCTCTTCTCTCAAGCTTCTTCTCCCTCATGGGCCTCAAGCTGGAGCCTGCGTCGGACATCATCACTGTCAGGTAAGTGGTTGACATGGCAACGCTCTTCTCTCAAGCTTCTTCTCCCTCATGGGCCTCAAGCTGGAGCCTGCGTCGGACATCATCACTGTCAGGTAAGTGGTTGACATGGCAACGCTCCTCTCTCTGACACTGATGTACCACCAGAAATCATCAAACCCAAGAATTAAGTATTTGTCCAGGCTTTCAGACGATGGTGTGTCAGCTCCAGATTCAAACATCTTACAACAGCTCACATTAACTCTCTCACATTAACTCTCTCACAAACTCGTTCATCTGTTGTTAGGGCGTCTGCAGACAAGGATGACAAGCTCTCAGCAGTGTACACGGTGTACGGAGCCGTGGTAGGGCACACCTCGCTCACCGCGTTCGTCAACCTCCCCTCCGGGGAGACCATCTACAGCACCCCCAAACCAGTCGAGGTAAGTGTCCAGTGATTACAAAATAACCTACAAGGAATTATGGAATGTGCTGAGTGAATTCATGTTGTGACTTGCAGTATTTTCATACATCATGAGATTCGAACCTCAGACTTTGTGATCCAAGGTCAGATGCCTTGTCCACATGACCAAAGAAGTAAATCCCCGTCAACTACCGGTAGCTTCTTCACACATCCAAACTGCAGCTTGAACCGATTGTTATTTGGTTGCATGTTTTTTGTGGTGTTTTATTCGTTCGACATTGTAATACAGGTGCCCCATTTTGTCGTAGAATAAGTTGTAAAAAATTAAGTATAGGAAGAGAAGAGATGGAATGGTCAGTGAAAAGTTGCTGTGTGAAGATGCACTGGCGATAAGATGAAGATGAGTGCTCTGTAAGAACGCTGGTGATGATGATTGCTGTTGCTGTTGCTGTTGCAGGTGTTCCCTCCCCTTCGTCTTGAACCCAAGAATATCACCATCATCGTCGGTGCCAAGTTCCAGGTAAGTGCTACCAAAAATAGTTCCCAGTTCATCTTTCTGTGGAGATTCCAGGATAGACTTGCTTCCAGTCATTTAGGCTTGTCATAAGAGGCACTTTATGGATTGGTGGTCAAGCCCTGTGACCCGATGGATTGTGGTTCATGCTTTCAATCACTGGTTTGTCTGGTCCAGACTTGATGAGACTTTCCATGAGGTGTCTGTAACACTGCAAGACTTTCCATGAGGTATCTGTTTGTAACACTGCACCTTCCCCTCCCCCCCCCAGGTCCGAGCTACGGGCGGGCCGCAGCCCCAGAGCACCATCGAGTTCTCCGTCATGGACAGCAGCATCTCCACCGTGGCGTCCAGCGGGCTGCTGGAGGGGCTCGAACTCGGCACCACACGTGTTGTGGGGAAAGCTGTCGGTACCGACCCAATCACAGGGGAAACTGTCGTCTACTCACAAGTAAGTGATCATTAAAGAATATACACCCCCAATAGTCCAAGGGTATCTTAATAAGAATGATTATGTATATACATTATACAACTGACCCGTGAAGATCTGAGGTAGAATAGGTCTTCAGCAACCCATGCTTGCTGTAAAAGGTGACTATGCTTGTTGTAACAGGCGACTAATGGGATCGGGTGTTCAGGATCACTGACTTGGTTGATGCATGTCATTGTTTCCCAATTGGGTGGATCGATGGTCATGAAGTCAATCACTGGATTGTCTGGTCCAGACTCGATTATTTGCAGACCACCGTCATATAGCTGGAATATTGCTGAGTGCAGCGTTACACAACATACAAACAAATTATACAACTTCAGAATCACTGTTAAAAGTTGATAGATGGAGAGATTATCATTTGTGTGAGTGTTCCTAGACGAAGCAGGTTGTCCAACACTGCCATGCCTTTAAGAGTCGCTCATTTCTTGGTCCCAATGTTCATCATGTTTCTCGTCTCCAGGACGATGCTGTCGTCAATGTGGTGATGCTGGCCGGCGTGAGGATCTACTCCCCACTTACGCGGGTGCAGACGGGCATTCAGGTGAGCTATCAACTTGGATACAAATGGCATTAGCATATTTTCATGATATTATCAAGGCATCCTCCTATATCGCTGCTAAATTTGAAAACATTCTTAAGTTCATTGTGAATGTCAAGCAGTCTGTGTTCTGGAAACTGAACCATTCAAACCGCGACCACCCAGTGGGGAGAGTGCTGGCTTGTCAGGAGTAAAACCCGGGTTTGATTCTCCACATGAGTATGTGTAGATGATTGTTTGTGACCCTCGGGGTAATATTGCTGACATTGCAAAAACCTAGCTCACTCACCATGGGGCTTCATGGAGTTATATCCTGCTTGTGGTATGTGTAGTGTGGCTCAGTGTGGGAACCACGGTCTTTGTTCCCCAAAATCTGCTGTATTGTTGCTGTGAGCCTCATGAAACTGAACTCACTCACCCCAAGTCTTAACTTGCTCACACACGCACACACACTAACACTAACACACACGCACACACACTAACACGCACTAACACTAACACACACGCACACACACTAACACACACGCACACACACTAACACTAACACACACGCACACACACTAACACACACGCACTAACACTAACACACACGCACACACACTAACACTAACACACACACTAAATATTGTATGTTGATTAGAGCGCCTCCGTGGCCAAGTGGAAGCAGCATCTGCTCATATATCCCAGCCATGTCATGTGAAAGGACGTTAAATCCATCTATAACATCGTATCTCAGTGGGCTAGCACTATAAAACTCTCACACACACCAAACACCCACACACCACACACACTCATGTACTTCGAGATGCCTAAATAATTTCCGGTCTGAGTCTCACCCGCTCTCTCTACTTGACTCAGCTGCCTGTGTCTGTGATGTGTGTACGTCTGTGATGTGTGTACGTCTGTGATGTGTGTGAGCAGGGTAGCAGGTCTGAGTCTCACCCGCTCTCTCTGCTTGATTCAGCTGCCTGTGTCTGTGATGTGTGTACGTCTGTGATGTGTGTACGTCTGTGATGTGTGTACGTCTGTGATGTGTGTACGTCTGTGATGTGTGTACGTCTGTGATGTGTGTACGTCTGTGATGTGTGTGAGCAGGGTAGCAGGTCTGAGTCTCACCCGCTCTCTCTGCTTGATTCAGCTGCCTGTGTCTGTGATGTGTGTACGTCTGATGTGTGTACGTCTGTGATGTGTGTACGTCTGTGATGTGTGTGAGCAGGGTAGCAGGTCTGAGTCTCACCCGCTCTCTCTGCTTGATTCAGCTGCCTGTGTCTGTGATGTGTGTACGTCTGTGATGTGTGTACGTCTGTGATGTGTGTACGTCTGATGTGTGTACGTCTGTGATGTGTGTACGTCTGTGATGTGTGTACGTCTGTGATGTGTGTGAGCAGGGTAGCAGGTCTGAGTCTCACCCGCTCTCTCTGCTTGATTCAGCTGCCTGTGTCTGTGATGTGTGTACGTCTGTGATGTGTGTACGTCTGTGATGTGTGTGAGCAGGGTAGCAGGTCTGAGTCTCACCCGCTCTCTCTGCTTGATTCAGCTGCCTGTGTCTGTGATGTGTGTACGTCTGTGATGTGTGTACGTCTGTGATGTGTGTACGTCTGTGATGTGTGTGAGCAGGGTAGCAGGTCTGAGTCTCACCCGCTCTCTCTGCTTGATTCAGCTGCCTGTGTCTGTGATGTGTGTACGTCTGTGATGTGTGTACGTCTGTGATGTGTGTACGTCTGTGATGTGTGTGAGCAGGGTAGCAGGCCTGAGTCTCACCCGCTCTCTCTGCTTGATTCAGCTGCCTGTGTCTGTGATGTGTGTACGTCTGTGATGTGTGTACGTGTGTACGTCTGTGATGTGTGTACGTCTGTGATGTGTGTGAGCAGGGTAGCAGGTCTGAGTCTCACCCGCTCTCTCTGCTTGATTCAGCTGCCTGTGTCTGTGATGTGTGTACGTCTGTGATGTGTGTACGTCTGTGATGTGTGTGAGCAGGGTAGCAGGTCTGAGTCTCACCCGCTCTCTCTGCTTGATTCAGCTGCCTGTGTCTGTGATGTGTGTACGTCTGTGATGTGTGTACGTCTGTGATGTGTGTACGTCTGTGATGTGTGTACGTCTGTGATGTGTGTGAGCAGGGTAGCAGGTCTGAGTCTCACCCGCTCTCTCTGCTTGATTCAGCTGCCTGTGTCTGTGATGTGTGTACGTCTGTGATGTGTGTACGTCTGTGATGTGTGTACGTCTGTGATGTGTGTGAGCAGGGTAGCAGGTCTGAGTCTCACCCGCTCTCTCTGCTTGATTCAGCTGCCTGTGTCTGTGATGTGTGTACGTCTGTGATGTGTGTACGTCTGTGATGTGTGTACGTCTGTGATGTGTGTGAGCAGGGTAGCAGGTCTGAGTCTCACCCGCTCTCTCTGCTTGATTCAGCTGCCTGTGTCTGTGATGTGTGTACGTCTGTGATGTGTGTACGTCTGTGATGTGTGTGAGCAGGGTAGCAGGTCTGAGTCTCACCCGCTCTCTCTGCTTGATTCAGCTGCCTGTGTCTGTGATGTGTGTACGTCTGTGATGTGTGTACGTCTGTGATGTGTGTGAGCAGGGTAGCAGGTCTGAGTCTCACCCGCTCTCTCTGCTTGATTCAGCTGCCTGTGTCTGTGATGTGTGTACGTCTATGATGTGTGTACGTCTGTGATGTGTGTGAGCAGGGTAGCAGGTCTGAGTCTCACCCGCTCTCTCTGCTTGATTCAGCTGCCTGTGTCTGTGATGTGTGTACGTCTGTGATGTGTGTACGTCTGTGATGTGTGTGAGCAGGGTAGCAGGTCTGAGTCTCACCCGCTCTCTCTGCTTGATTCAGCTGCCTGTGTCTGTGATGTGTGTACGTCTGTGATGTGTGTACGTCTGTGATGTGTGTGAGCAGGGTAGCAGGTCTGAGTCTCACCCGCTCTCTCTGCTTGATTCAGCTGCCTGTGTCTGTGATGTGTGTACGTCTGTGATGTGTGTACGTCTGTGATGTGTGTGAGCAGGGTAGCAGGTCTGAGTCTCACCCGCTCTCTCTGCTTGATTCAGCTGCCTGTGTCTGTGATGTGTGTACGTCTGTGATGTGTGTACGTCTGTGATGTGTGTACGTCTGTGATGTGTGTACGTCTGTGATGTGTGTACGTCTGTGATGTGTGTGAGCAGGGTAGCAGGTCTGAGTCTCACCCGCTCTCTCTGCTTGACTCAGCTGCCTGTGTCTGTGATGTGTGTACGTCTGTGATGTGTGTACGTCTGTGATGTGTGTGAGCAGGGTAGCAGGTCTGAGTCTCACCCGCTCTCTCTGCTTGATTCAGCTGCCTGTGTATGCAGTCGGACTAACGGAACATGAAACGCCCTTCACCTTCGGCAGCTCCCTGCCACCATTGTCCTTCCACTGGTCCGTCAACAGCCGTGAGCTCGTCTCCCTCAAGTCCGTGTACCACAAGGTGAGCCACATTTCTTCTCTACTTTCTTTATCCAGGCATATGAACCAAAGGAAATGAGCAAGCACTCTCCTTGAAAGAGGATTTAGGTATACCGGTAACCAACTGATACATTGGTGGAGAAGATGGGTTAAATAACAGGTGGGACGTCTTCTTGATGTCAGTGCACATTGTTACAGTCATGTCTATTTATAGCATGCAACAAAAGTCCTTAGGTCACATGGTGTAAATCTTTAGAATTATTCATTACAATAAAATTGAACAATTAGTGAAATGGTGTTATGTAATGTTTCAGAGCAACATTCTGTTTTCGGAGGAAAGTGACTTCGCTAAGCGACTGTTTGCCCTTGAAGCTGGTCATGTGACTGTCAGCCTGCGTGTGACACCTTCACAGCAGAGTTCGAACCAGGTCACAGGCAACATCGTGCTGCGAGACGAGATCCAGATACAGGTGAGATGTGGACAGGAAGCATTACAATAGAACAGTAGGCGCAGTTATAGTCAGAATGTGATAGTCATGGGTTTGAATCCCAGATTTGCCCTGATTGTGATTTTGCCTGTCCGCCCCTTACCCATGCTTTTAGGTTCACGAGAGTGGTCAACATCTACGACTTGTTTCACTTCAGCACATTTAGTGAACATGCTGTAACATCACTGTAATATTGTCACCTGCTGATTATCTGTTTGACTGTAAGATGTGTGTGGTTCTTTAACTCCTCATATTCGTTGTGACATCAGGTGTTTGAGAAGTTGTCCTTGGTGAACCCCAGCGTCTGTGACGGTCACATCCTCATCACCCCCAACACCGAGACCACCATCAAGACAAACAGGTAGGTGACTTCTGATTGGTCAGTACCATCAAGACAAACGGGTAGGTGACTTCTGATTGGTCAATACCATCAAGACAAACAGGTAGGTGACTTCTGATTGGTCAATACCATCAAGACCAACAGGTGTCTGACTGGCAAGGGAGGCATAAGCAGTGGGTTGGTTGCCATATTTCAGACAATGCTCAAATAGTAAAAAGATTGAATATATTTCAATACAAAATACATTCAAGATTTTTTTATTTTATATTATTCAGTCTGTGTTGCATGAATAAAAAAAGACTTTCAGTCAAATACCCGATAATTAAAGGAAAGATTTTCAAAACCATTTTGGAGAATAATTGAATTCATTTGTCTGTTAGAGTTAATGTCAGCTTGGAAAGTAACGTTACATTTTTTTATGATGACAAATTTCCCCGGCAGAGATCTGGCAGCGCGTCTGACCTACCACGTCCTGCAAAACAGTGGCAAGTCCATCGTCACCATGAAGCAGAACGGCGTGCTCGTCTCAGGGGCGCTGACAGGCACTGCTGCTCTCCACGTAATCGCTCAGGAGGACTTCGGCGTCAACCAGACCCTTGTCATTCTCGTCAAGGTAAAGCTGTCAATCTGATACACTGTGGTGAACTCTACGTCTTCATCTTCTCCAGACCCAGTCTTGTAAAGTGCCATTGTTCATTGTGCAGAGTAGCACCCCTTATTTGTGGCAGGATCTGTGGCTGCATCAGTATGAAAGTTAAATCGCCAGTTCCTATTGTATGAGGACCTCTTATGGTGAGGTCGTCTGTTCCTGTTTTGTGGAGGCGAGGTCGCCTGTTCCTCTTGTATGGAGGCTCAGGTAAGGCGAGGTCGCCTGCTCCTCTTGTATGGAGACTCCCATGAGGTTAGGTCACATGTTCCTCTTGTGTGGAGGTCCATGTCAGGTGAGGTCGGCTGTTCCTGTTGAACAGAGGCCCACGTGAGTTGAGGTCGCCTGTTCCTCTTGTATGGAGGCTCACGTAAGGCGAGGTCGCCTGTTCCTCTTGTATGGAGACTCACGTAAGGCGAGGTCGCCTGTTCCTCTTGTGTGGAGGCCCATGTTAGGTGAGGTCGGCTGTTCCTGTTTTTTGGAGGCGAGGTCGCCTGTTCCTCTTGTATGGAGGCTCAGGTAAGGCGAGGTCGCCTGCTCCTCTTGTATGGAGACTCCCGTGAGGTTAGGTCACATGTTCCTCTTGTGTGGAGGCCCATGTCAGGTGAGGTCGGCTGTTCCTGTTGAACAGAGGCCCACGTGAGTTGAGGTCGCCTGTTCCTCTTGTATGGAGGCTCACGTAAGGCGGGGTCGCCTGTTCCTCTTGTATGGAGACTCACGTAAGGCGAGGTCGCCTGTTCCTCTTGTGTGGAGGCCCATGTTAGGTGAGGTCGGCTGTTCCTGTTTTTTGGAGGCGAGGTCGCCTGTTCCTCTTGTATGGAGGCTCAGGTAAGGCGAGGTCGCCTGCTCCTCTTGTATGGAGACTCCCGTGAGGTTAGGTCACATGTTCCTCTTGTGTGGAGGTCCATGTCAGGTGAGGTCGCCTGTTCCTCTTGTATGGAGGCTCACGTAAGGCGAGGTCGCCTGTTCCTCTTGTATGGAGACTCACATAAGGCGAGGTCGCCTGTTCCTCTTGTATGGAGACTCACGTAAGGCGAGGTCGCCTGTTCCTCTTGTATGGAGACTCACATAAGGCGAGGTCGCCTGTTCCTCTTGTATTGAGCCTCACGTGAGGGTAGGTCACATGTTCCTCTTGTGTGGAGGCCCATGTTAGGTGAGGTCGGCTGTTTCCGTTGAACAGAGGCGAGGTTGCCTGTTCCCGTTGTATGATTATCACGTAAGGCGAGGTCGCCCGTTCCTGTTGTACGAGGATCACATCAGGATCAATCGCACATTCATGTTTGAATGAAATGGTTACTTGCTAAGTTTCACATGTTGTCTTACTGTTCACTCACTCACCTATGTTTCATCTATTCATCATGTGGTTTCTTCATCTTCAGGTGAAACCCGTCTCCTTTGTGATGATCAACGCAGACACTCCCTTCCTCACATCCTCCGGTCACCTGACCAGTATACCCGTCGGCACCACGCTCAAGTTCTCCATCAGTTACCATGACGACACCGGAATGCCGTTCTACGCCACCAGCGTTCAGCTTCAGATGAGATGCAGCAGGTGAGGGACTGTGATTCTCTGAATACATCTTTACTAAATCTGTCAAAGGTTTCTTTCAGTTTCTTATTGAAATTACAAGGATGAATTGATAGGATAAATCTTATTTGTCAGCCTTGCCCCAGTAGCATTTCCTCTGCAGAATAGCCCCCAAGGACCTGAACTTGGCATGGTGGTGGTTCATGGTTCATGTGCTTGTGATTAATTTAAATTATATCAAGTTAAGAACTTCTAAAGAAAAATTTCGAATTAACAAATGCACAATGATTAATCTAGTCAGATCTATTGTGGCAGATTGTACCATAGCAATGGGCCAGCATGTTGACATGACCTATCGTCTATGGTTGGTACATGACTATGGCACCACCAGCACATGTTGATCTTTTGATCGGAGAGAACTTGCAGGCTTGTATGGTACTACAGTGGTGGTATGTGTGCTGATGTGTGTCTGGTTGCTAGTCCTCTTTGGTGGGTGAGTGAGTGTACTACAGTCTGGTGGTATGTGTGCTGATGTGTGTCTGGTTGCTAGTCCTCATTGGTGGGTGAGTGAGTGTACTACAGTCTGGTGGTGTGTGTGCTGATGTGTGTCCGGTTGCTAGTCCTCATTGGTGGGTGAGTGAGTGTACTACAGTCTGGTGGTGTGTGTGCTGATGTGTGTCTGGTTGCTAGTCCTCATTGGTGGGTGAGTGAGTGTACTACAGTCTGGTGGTGTGTGTGCTGATGTGTGTCTGGTTGCTAGTCCTCATTGGTGGGTGAGTGAGTGTACTACAGTCTGGTGGTGTGTGTGCTGATGTGTGTCTGGTTGCTAGTCCTCATTGGTGGGTGAGTGAGTGTACTACAGTCTGGTGGTGTGTGTGCTGATGTGTGTCTGGTTGCTAGTCCTCATTGGTGGGTGAGTGAGTGTACTACAGTCTGGTGGTGTGTGTGCTGATGTGTGTCTGGTTGCTAGTCCTCATTGGTGGGTGAGTGAGTGTACTACAGTCTGGTGGTGTGTGTGCTGATGTGTGTCTGGTTGCTAGTCCTCATTGGTGGGTGAGTGAGTGTACTACAGTCTGGTGGTGTGTGTGCGGATGTGTGTCTGGTTGCTAGTCCTCATTGGTGAGTGAGTGGGTGTACTACAGTCTGGTGGTGTGTGTGCGGATGTGTGTCTGGTTGCTCGTCCTCATTGGTGGGTGAGTGAGTGTACTATAGTCTGGTGGTATGTGTGCGGATGTGTGTCTGGTTGCTAGTCCTCATTGGTGAGTGAGTGTACTACAGTCTGGTGGTATGTGTGCGGATGTGTGTCTGGTTGCTAGTCCTCATTGGTGGGTGAGTCAGTGTACTACAGTCTGGTGGTGTGTGTGCGGATGTGTGTCTGGTTGCTAGTCCTCATTGGTGGGTGAGTGAGTGGGTGAGTGAGTGTACTACAGTCTGGTGGTATGTGTGCTGATGTGTGTCTGGTTGCTAGTCCTCATTGGTGGGTGAGTGAGTGGGTGAGTGAGTGTACTACAGTCTGGTGGTATGTGTGCGGATGTGTGTCTGGTTGCTAGTCCTCTTTGGTGAGTGAGTGAGTGGGTGAGTGAGTGTACTATAGTCTGGTGGTATGTGTGCTGATGTGTGTCTGGTTGCTAGTCCTCATTGGTGGGTGAGTGAGTGTACTATAGTCTGGTGGTATGTGTGCTGATGTGTGTCTGGTTGCTAGTCCTCATTGGTGAGTGAGTGTGTGAGTGGGTGAGTGAGTGTACTACAGTCTGGTGGTATGTGTGCGGATGTGTGTCTGGTTGCTAGTCCTCATTGGTGGGTGAGTGAGTGGGTGGGTGAGTGAGTGTGTGAGTGGGTGAGTGAGTGTACTAAAGTCTGGTGGTGTGTGTGCGGATGTGTGTCTGGTTGCTAGTCCTCATTGGTGGGTGAGTGAGTGTACTATAGTCTGGTGGTATGTGTGCTGATGTGTGTCTGGTTGCTAGTCCTCATTGGTGGGTGAGTGAGTGTACTACAGTCTGGTGGTGTGTGTGCTGATGTGTGTCTGGTTGCTAGTCCTCATTGGTGAGTGAGTGAGTGAGTGGGTGAGTGGGTGGGTGAGTGAGTGTGTGAGTGGGTGAGTGAGTGTACTAAAGTCTGGTGGTGTGTGTGCGGATGTGTGTCTGGTTGCTAGTCCTCATTGGTGGGTGAGTGAGTGAGTGGGTGGGTGAGTGAGTGGGTGAGTGAGTGTACTAAAGTCTGGTGGTGTGTGTGCGGATGTGTGTCTGGTTGCTAGTCCTCATTGGTGGGTGAGTGAGTGTACTATAGTCTGGTGGTATGTGTGCTGATGTGTGTCTGGTTGCTAGTCCTCATTGGTGAGTGAGTGAGTGAGTGTGTGAGTGGGTGAGTGAGTGTACTACAGTCTGGTGGTATGTGTGCTGATGTGTGTCTGGTTGCTAGTCCTCATTGGTGAGTGAGTGAGTGGGTGGGTGAGTGAGTGTGTGAGTGGGTGAGTGAGTGTACTACAGTCTGGTGGTATGTGTGCTGATGTGTGTCTGGTTGCTAGTCCTCATTGGTGAGTGAGTGGGTGAGTGAGTGTACTATAGTCTGGTGGTATGTGTGCTGATGTGTGTCTGGTTGCTAGTCCTCATTGGTGAGTGAGTGGGTGGGTGAGTGAGTGTGTGAGTGGGTGAGTGAGTGTACTATAGTCTGGTGGTATGTGTGCTGATGTGTGTCTGGTTGCTAGTCCTCATTGGTGAGTGAGTGAGTGAGTGAGTGGGTGAGTGAGTGTACTACAGTCTGGTGGTATGTGTGCGGATGTGTGTCTGGTTGCTAGTCCTTATTGGTGAGTGAGTGAGTGGGTGAGTGAGTGTACTATAGTCTGGTGGTATGTGTGCTGATGTGTGACTGGTTGCTAGTCCTCTTTGGTGAGTGTGTGAGTGGGTGAGTGAGTGTACTGTAGTCTGGTGGTATGTGTGCGGATGTGTGTCTGGATGCTAGTCCTCTTTGGTGAGTGTGTGAGTGGGTGAGTGAGTGTACTGTAGTCTGGTGGTGTGTGTGCTGATGTGTGTCTGGTTGCTAGTCCTCATTGGTGGGTGAGTGAGTGTACTACAGTCTGGTGGTGTGTGTGCTGATGTGTGTCTGGTTGCTAGTCCTCATTGGTGGGTGAGTGAGTGTACTACAGTCTGGTGGTGTGTGTGCGGATGTGTGTCTGGTTGCTAGTCCTCATTGGTGAGTGAGTGGGTGTACTACAGTCTGGTGGTGTGTGTGCGGATGTGTGTCTGGTTGCTCGTCCTCATTGGTGGGTGAGTGAGTGTACTATAGTCTGGTGGTATGTGTGCGGATGTGTGTCTGGTTGCTAGTCCTCATTGGTGAGTGAGTGTACTACAGTCTGGTGGTATGTGTGCGGATGTGTGTCTGGTTGCTAGTCCTCATTGGTGGGTGAGTCAGTGTACTACAGTCTGGTGGTGTGTGTGCGGATGTGTGTCTGGTTGCTAGTCCTCATTGGTGGGTGAGTGAGTGGGTGAGTGAGTGTACTACAGTCTGGTGGTATGTGTGCTGATGTGTGTCTGGTTGCTAGTCCTCATTGGTGGGTGAGTGAGTGGGTGAGTGAGTGTACTACAGTCTGGTGGTATGTGTGCGGATGTGTGTCTGGTTGCTAGTCCTCTTTGGTGAGTGAGTGAGTGGGTGAGTGAGTGTACTATAGTCTGGTGGTATGTGTGCTGATGTGTGTCTGGTTGCTAGTCCTCATTGGTGGGTGAGTGAGTGTACTATAGTCTGGTGGTATGTGTGCTGATGTGTGTCTGGTTGCTAGTCCTCATTGGTGAGTGAGTGTGTGAGTGGGTGAGTGAGTGTAATACAGTCTGGTGGTATGTGTGCGGATGTGTGTCTGGTTGCTAGTCCTCATTGGTGGGTGAGTGAGTGGGTGGGTGAGTGAGTGTGTGAGTGGGTGAGTGAGTGTACTAAAGTCTGGTGGTGTGTGTGCGGATGTGTGTCTGGTTGCTAGTCCTCATTGGTGGGTGAGTGAGTGTACTATAGTCTGGTGGTATGTGTGCTGATGTGTGTCTGGTTGCTAGTCCTCATTGGTGGGTGAGTGAGTGTACTACAGTCTGGTGGTGTGTGTGCGGATGTGTGTCTGGTTGCTAGTCCTCATTGGTGAGTGAGTGGGTGAGTGGGTGGGTGAGTGAGTGTGTGAGTGGGTGAGTGAGTGTACTAAAGTCTGGTGGTGTGTGTGCGGATGTGTGTCTGGTTGCTAGTCCTCATTGGTGGGTGAGTGAGTGAGTGGGTGGGTGAGTGAGTGAGTGTACTAAAGTCTGGTGGTGTGTGTGCGGATGTGTGTCTGGTTGCTAGTCCTCATTGGTGGGTGAGTGAGTGTACTATAGTCTGGTGGTATGTGTGCTGATGTGTGTCTGGTTGCTAGTCCTCATTGGTGAGTGAGTGGGTGAGTGAGTGAGTGAGTGTGTGAGTGGGTGAGTGAGTGTACTACAGTCTGGTGGTATGTGTGCTGATGTGTGTCTGGTTGCTAGTCCTCATTGGTGAGTGAGTGAGTGGGTGGGTGAGTGAGTGTGTGAGTGGGTGAGTGAGTGTACTACAGTCTGGTGGTATGTGTGCTGATGTGTGTCTGGTTGCTAGTCCTCATTGGTGAGTGAGTGGGTGAGTGAGTGTACTATAGTCTGGTGGTATGTGTGCTGATGTGTGTCTGGTTGCTAGTCCTCATTGGTGAGTGAGTGAGTGGGTGGGTGAGTGAGTGTGTGAGTGGGTGAGTGAGTGTACTACAGTCTGGTGGTATGTGTGCTGATGTGTGTCTGGTTGCTAGTCCTCATTGGTGAGTGAGTGAGTGGGTGGGTGAGTGAGTGTGTGAGTGGGTGAGTGAGTGTACTATAGTCTGGTGGTATGTGTGCTGATGTGTGTCTGGTTGCTAGTCCTCATTGGTGAGTGAGTGAGTGAGTGAGTGGGTGAATGAGTGTACTACAGTCTGGTGGTATGTGTGCGGATGTGTGTCTGGTTGCTAGTCCTTATTGGTGAGTGAGTGAGTGGGTGAGTGAGTGTACTATAGTCTGGTGGTATGTGTGCTGATGTGTGACTGGTTGCTAGTCCTCTTCGGTGAGTGTGTGAGTGGGTGAGTGAGTGTACTGTAGTCTGGTGGTATGTGTGCGGATGTGTGTCTGGATGCTAGTCCTCATTGGTGAGTGAGTGAGTGGGTGGGTGAGTGAGTGTGTGAGTGGGTGAGTGAGTGTACTATAGTCTGGTGGTATGTGTGCTGATGTGTGTCTGGTTGCTAGTCCTCATTGGTGAGTGAGTGAGTGGGTGGGTGGGTGGGTGAGTGAGTGAGTGAGTGGGTGAGTGAGTGTACTATAGTCTGGTGGTATGTGTGCTGATGTGTGTCTGGTTGCTAGTCCTCATTGGTGAGTGAGTGAGTGGGTGGGTGAGTGAGTGTGTGAGTGGGTGAGTGAGTGTACTACAGTCTGGTGGTATGTGTGCGGATGTGTGTCTGGTTGCTAGTCCTCATTGGTGAGTGAGTGAGTGGGTGGGTGAGTGAGTGTGTGAGTGGGTGAGTGAGTGTACTATAGTCTGGTGGTATGTGTGCTGATGTGTGTCTGGTTGCTAGTCCTCATTGGTGAGTGAGTGAGTGAGTGAGTGGGTGGGTGAGTGAGTGTACTACAGTCTGGTGGTATGTGTGCGGATGTGTGTCTGGTTGCTAGTCCTCATTGGTGAGTGAGTGAGTGTACTATAGTCTGGTGGTATGTGTGCTGATGTGTGACTGGTTGCTAGTCCTCTTTGGTGAGTGTGTGAGTGGGTGAGTGAGTGTACTACAGTCTGGTGGTATGTGTGCGGATGTGTGTCTGGTTGCTAGTCCTCATTGGTGAGTGAGTGAGTGTACTACAGTCTGGTGGTATGTGTGCTGATGTGTGTCTGGTTGCTAGTCCTCATTGGTGAGTGAGTGAGTGGGTGGGTGAGTGAGTGAGTGTGTGAGTGGGTGAGTGAGTGTACTATAGTCTGGTGGTATGTGTGCTGACGTGTGTCTGGTTGCTAGTCCTCATTGGTGAGTGAGTGAGTGGGTGGGTGGGTGAGTGAGTGAGTGAGTGAGTGAGTGGGTGAGTGAGTGTACTATAGTCTGGTGGTATGTGTGCTGATGTGTGTCTGGTTGCTAGTCCTCATTGGTGAGTGAGTGAGTGGGTGGGTGGGTGAGTGAGTGAGTGAGTGAGTGAGTGAGTGGGTGAGTGAGTGTACTATAGTCTGGTGGTATGTGTGCTGATGTGTGTCTGGTTGCTAGTCCTCATTGGTGAGTGAGTGAGTGAGTGAGTGAGTGTACTATAGTCTGGTGGTATGTGTGCTGATGTGTGTCTGGTTGCTAGTCCTCTTTGGTGAGTGAGTGAGTGGGTGAGTGAGTGTACTATAGTCTGGTGGTATGTGTGCTGATGTGTGTCTGGTTGCTAGTCCTCTTTGGTGAGTGAGTGAGTGGGTGAGTGAGTGTACTATAGTCTGGTGGTATGTGTGCTGATGTGTGTCTGGTTGCTAGTCCTCTTTGGTGAGTGGGTGAGTGAGTGTACTATAGTCTGGTGGTATGTGTGCTGATGTGTGTCTGGTTGCTAGTCCTCTTTGGTGAGTGAGTGAGTGAGTGGGTGGGTGGGTGGGTGGGTGAGTGAGTGAGTGAGTGAGTGAGTGAGTGAGTGGTATTCAGCAGTATTCCAGACAGTTAAGAACATGGTTGCAAATCGGAGAGGGTTTCGCTCTGATATTGGTGATTGTGGCATAAAACGACACTCACTCCAGTCTTGTTGGAGGTGGTATGACGCCCCGATGACACTTTCCTGTTGTTTCCAGGTATGACCTGCTGCAGATTTCCAAGGATACCGACAACAGCACGCTGATCGTCCGCGCTGCAGAGGCAGGGCAGACTATCCTCAAGGTGTGGGACTTGTACAACCCCTGGATGGCCGACTACATCAACATCCCCGTCAACTACATCATCACCCCCGCGCAGGCCGTTGTCTCCCTCGGGGCCGTCATCTGCTTCAGTACGCCGCTGGTGTCACAGAGAGGTATGTTGACTCTAAATATTGCTTGAAACCTACAGTAATCTGTTTGTAATGTCTCGCCCCCCCCCCCCCCCCCCCCCCGTGTTTGTAATGTCCCCCTCGTGTTTGTAATGTCCCCCTTATGTTTGTAATGTTCCGACAGATTAGATAGAAATTCTCATCAAGTTGGACCTAATGTAACAGTCAGATGATTTGTTCTCTTTCGAATTTGTGGGGGCTGGGGAGATTTGTCATCTTCTAATGACTCTTGTTTACTTTGTGATGCTTCAGGCTATACAGGAGGCTGGGCAGTGAAGGGGACGTCGGTCAATATCGACCCAGACTCTGGCCTCGCCACGGCAACCAGTGTCGGTAGATCAGTGGTCATCAACACCATCAGTGCCGACCTGACCACATACACTGAAGTGACGGTACTGCCGGTATCCAAGGCGACAGTTGGGGACAGTGTGGGCTTCCTGAGTAATGCCCCTGGCCGCAAGCCAGTGAATATTCCCGTCAATCTGGGCTTGGTGAACAAGCCTTTGGGTAAGAGATGCACATTTCATGGTAATGAATAATTTCACTGATTAACCTTGTGTTATCTTATTGCTTTACTCCGAGGCATGGGTGACCCAGTCATCCAAGATGCTGCCATTCGCGGTGCAGAGTTGTGTCCCTTTGGCACACCCGAAACCTATGATTGTGGGTTTGAGTCAAGGTTCACCCCGATTATGTTTCTAGTTTCGTCAGCACTATACCCATGCTTGTTGGATTTCACTCACTCAAACACTTAATCAAACTCTCAAACACTCAGTCAACCAAAAGGATGTGAAATCTCTGCGAAAACGCGGAATATCACGTTTTTTAAAACAGAAGTCCTCGGGGGAAAAAAACTATGAATGTTTCATTACCCGAAAACCCATAACACAGGGATATATGTCGTATTAATGTCTTATGTTTGCCATGTTGTTGTTTTTTCAACAAAAGGTAAGTAGTACAAGGTAAGTTTTTTTCAATATGCTTCAACATGGGGAAAGGGACAGACATTGCAGACTTGTGACAGTTGTCCTTGTGTCTGGGGGATGGAGGGGGAAATTCATGGCAGAACACCCACTCACTCACTCAAACACTCACTCGCTCGCTCGCTCGCCCGCCCGCCCGAACACCCACCCACTCACTCACTCACTCACTCACTCACTCACTATAAATCGGCATCAGTCCGGACTAGAACAAGCAGCCACACACACACATACACGTGCATGCACGTCGCTATATAAGTGCAATAATCTTGGACGCGACGTTAAACCCAATTTCACCTCACCTCACCTCACCTCACTCACTCACTCACTCACTCACTCACTCACTCACTCACTCACTCACTCACTCACTCACTCACTCACTCACTCACTCACTGTTCCAGGAGAGAACTGCCCTGCAGAGTTGAGGAGCAACGGCTATCAGCCGCCATTCCTTCCCTTCCTGTGCCGCCTGGAGTTCACCAAGACGGACGTGGAGGTCGATGTCAACGACCTGTTCAGGGTCGTGCCAGGATTTGACTCTGAAAAAGGTAAGAACAGATGTTGGACATCTGAGCCAGTTTCACAAATGATTGAAGCTCTAAGACAAATGTAACGCCCATACTTTACATACTTTAGGCAGTAGCTCTAAGATTGGGGAACGGGGCACTGGCTTCGAAGATATTAATCGTGCCAGGATTCGATTTCGAAGAAGGTTTACAGAGATGTTGAACATCTGGCCTTGAAGATAATGCCCTTGAAAGGATTTGCATTAAATTGGGGAATTAGTACTATTGTGACATAATACACTATTTGCTGCGTTACACAGAGAAACGTACATACACACATCAGAGTTACTTGCCCTTGATCATTCTTCCTACATACAATAGGAAATATTGTTTTTAAATTAACAAAGTGACAGTTGGGAGAATTTGGATTTGCACTAAAATTGCTTCTTCTTTCCTTTTCTTTTTTCATCAAATATGTTGTGCATGGATTTGTAGAGTATGTTTAATGTAAACCTTCTGACATTTATCTTCAGGGCAACTCGTCTGTCAGGTGACCGCCATCATGTCCGAGTTTCACAACTATCAACAGTTGAGCACCATCAGCTCAAAGATAAGACTGGTTGTCATAGTAACACAGCAGGACGGCCAACCAGAGCTCCCCACATCATGTGACCTCGAGTTTGCTCCCGCCTTCTACATTCACAATGCCGAGATCCACCTGACGACTCTGGCTCCACTCGCCTCCATCCGCATCTCGACCCTGCCCAACCTCGTCCCCAACATTCAGGTTGGTGATCCCCCCATTGTTTGCTGGGTGTCAGATTGCCACACTCTCCTAAACATTGGTATTTGCAAGACCATGGTTCAAATTACATTTGGCAGACATCCCCCCAATACAACAAACAGTAATTTCAAACATATCTGATTTTCCCAGTGATTTTTACTTTTTTATTAATGATTTGAAATATAACCAAAATTGAACAAAATATTAAGAAGTCCAACTTAAACAAATTCATACCCCCCTCTGCCTGCTTGTTTAATGTCATACTTGGGAATATTACAGTTATATGACACAACCTCTAAATAATAGTGTCTGAACCAAACAAGCCATTTGATACTATGAGCCACTTCCCACACCGTGAGGGTATGATGACACGCTGAGCCTGACCAGCGATCCTTTAAGTCGCCTCTTATGACTAGCAGAGGTTGCTAGGTTCCCAGGTCTTCGGAACCATGGTGACAATGTATTTTTAATTGTCCCACAGGCATCAGTGAGTGATGGGACACTGATTGAAGCCTTGTCACCTGACCAGGACAGCCAATCAGGGGGTGTTGTTTTGTTTCCTGTCCGTCTGCTTGACTCGCTGAGTGTCTGGGAGAGGGAGACGCTCAACTTGCACGTAGAACTGGTCAACAAGCACACCGGACAGCGAGCCAAGATTCCTGTCTACATCAAACTCATCGGAGACAGGCCCGATGTGTCGCGTAAGTTTCATACAAGGGAAGACTGCCTCTTGTCAGCTGGTCCTGATGATGTAGTTATCGAAATGTTGAAGTGTTCTAAGTTCTAAGTTTGAAGTTTGAAGTTATGCCTTTTCTTTGCAAATGTTTTAATAAGCTATTTGAAAATGGTGTTTTCCCAAGCAATTGGTCATGTTCTATAATAATCCCCCTGCATAAAAAAGGAGACAGGAGTGACCCAGATAACTATAGAGGCATTTCATTAATGAGCATTTTAGGAAAAGTATTTACTACAATATTAAACAATAGAATTTCAAAATGGGCGACCATGCGTGATAAGATTCCTGAATTTCAAGCTGGCTTCAAAAAAGTTATTCCACCGTAGATCATGTATTTACACTTTATGCACTTATTCAAAAAACCTTGTCACGGCGTAAGCATAAACTGTATGTAGAATTTGTAGATTTTAAAAAGGCTTTTGATTCTGTCAATCGCTTTAAGCTATGGACATGTCTACGAAAAGCTGGTTTACGTGGGAAAATGTTTACTATTCTAAAATCAATGTATTCTAATGTGAGATCATGTGTTCGTTGTGGGGATAGTTTAACAGATTTCTTTGATTTTCCTTTGGGCCTAAGACAAGGCTGTATTTTGAGTCCGATCTTATTTTCAATTTTCATTAATGAATTATATTACGAAATAGCTGCCAGTGGTAAACATGGTATCCAAATGTTCCCAGATTGGATAGAAATACTAATGCTACTTTTCGCAGATGATGTCATTTTAGTGTCAGATACTATTGTCGGTCTTCAAAGGCAATTAAATATTTTAAGTACCTACACCAAAGAATGGAAATTATCCGTAAACTTGGAAAAAACTAAAATTGTGATCTTCAGAAAAGGTGGTCCAATAGCGTCGAAAGAGAGATGGTCATTTGATGGTCAGTTAGTCAATATAGTAGATCACTACTCATATTTAGGAATCTGGTTCTCACACACAATGAATTGGAAAAAATGTGCCCTTGACTTGTCCTTGCGTGCAAAGAAAGCTTTAATAAGTGTAATGTCTATTTCTCATAAAGTGGGATTGATGTCACCTAATATCTTCTTTAAGCTTTTCGATACCCAGATACAACCAATTCTATTGTATGGTTCTGAAGTATGGGGATTTCAACGTTATGACTGTTTAGAGAAGGTTCATTTATTAGCATGTAAAAAGTTTCTTTGTGTCGGATCTTCTACACCAAATTGCATGGTTTATGGTGAATGTGGTAGATACCCATTATATATTAATTCTCAGATCAGATGTTTAAAATACTGGTTTAAAATTCTTCATATGCATGAACAACGTCTCCCCAAATTAGCCTATAACATGCTTCTACATTTAGATAAATAGGGAAAGAATACTTGGACATCGCATATAAGAAATCTTTTATTTTCGCATGGTTTGGGTTTTATATGGCTATGTCAGTCAGTTGGAAATGTAAATATGTTTCTTAATGAATTTCGGAATCGGTCTATAAATATGTTCTACCAAGAATGGCACTCCACTTTAGAGGATAGTTCGCGTTATGAATATTACAAAACTTTCAAGACTTTACTTCAACCAGAAATATATTTATCAGTACTCACTACGGAAAACTTAAGAAAACAGTTAATTAAATATCGACTTGGTTTGCTAGACCTATTTGTAAATGAAGGAAGAAAACTGTCCATTGAAAAAATGGAAAGAATTTGTCCATTGTGTAAGCTAGAGATAGAAAATGAAATTCATTTTGTGTTTGTCTGTCCATTTTACAATGATCTCCGAAAGAAATATATAAAAGATTATTTAATAGCAATGTCACCGATAAACGCCTTTGTAGTTATGCTGACGACAAAGAACGAATCAAATATATTAAATCTTTCTCTTTATATTAAGCATGCATTAGCCAAAATAAAATGAATTAATCAAACAACGTGTATATCCCAATGTGTAACAAATGTAATTGTATCTACATGCGTAACTCTTTCTTGTATATGGGCCGGTGGCCTTTTGTACAATAAACTTCTTTGACTTTGACTTGGTCTTGAGGATAGGGCCTCTGGCCAGAGGTCGAAGGTCAGTTGTTTGATCCCCGACCACGGTATACGAGAAGACATTAAACGGCAATAGTTGTTGGTATCCTGCCTGGCACTCGGCATTAAGGGGATAAAACAGGACTGGTCGGATCAGAGTCAATACTCGGTGGGGTATTCATGTTAAACTGCGGAGTGGTATCTCAGTGGGCTAGCAGTATGAAATCGGCATTAGTTCGGACTAGTACAAACAGGCACACGCACGTACACACGCATGCATGCATGCATGTATGTTGCTATATAAGTGCAATAATTTTGAGCGCAACATTAAAACCTATTTACTGTCTATATTAAACTAACATCCGTATGTTCTCCTATACACCCCGCCTGAACGCTGCTCTCTATGTTCATCAGGCCTGAGGACGGTCTACACACGGGACATCGGCTGGAGCACGCTCATCTTCAACTTCCTCATGACGTACCAGTCCTGGTTTGCCCTGTTCCTGCTCATCCTAGCTACAGCAGTCGCCGTTCTTGTAGGTGAGAATCCATACTCTTGTTCCTGGTCTTGTAGGTGAGAATCGACAGTCTTGTTCCTGGTCTTGTAGGTGAGAAACGATAGTCTTGTTCCTGGTCTTGTAGGTGAGTAACGATAGTCTTGTTCCTGGTCTTGTAGGTGAGTATCGATAGTCTTGTTCCTGGTCTTGTAGGTGAGTAACGATAGTTATGTTCCTGGTCTTGTAGGTGAGTATCGATACTCTTGTTCCTGGTCTTGAAGATGAGTTTGAAGTTTGTGTAAGATATATGTCAGCAATAACTTGTCAGTAAGATTCACTACTGTGTGCTTTCTTCAGTACTTGTTATCCCCACCACGAACGGAGTTGTTTTTCAACAGAGTGCGTACTGCGTGAAATGGGGACAAATTTTCCCAGAAACTACTTAAGTTTCATGAATGAAACTTTACAAGCTTATATATAAGAGATACTTGTGAAGACTAAGTTTGAATTGGTGCAATGTTATTCCATATTACACACTACAGTTTCAACAAAGAAAATTCTAATGTGCCCCGTTGTTTCTTCAAACTATCATCATGATGTGTGTGACTTTGACCTCTGCAGGATACCATGTGCTGATTGGGCCACGTTATCGGACAAGCGCCAACTCGAGCGCCTTCCTGAATACAAGCCAGTCGATGAATCCGAGTCCCAATGTGACGTACATTCAACCAGCTCCAGGTGAGGATGAGGAAACTGACAATGTCAATGTAGATGATGATGATGATGATGTCATGAGGCAAGGGAGTTAACTGACTGTGAAAGTCCAAAATGGCAAAATGATAAAAGATACAACGGGTCTTACCTTGTCAAGTGCATCAAATAACTTGAGCACCTTGATTGAAAATATGAAAAGATTTGGAAAATATCTGTTGATGGTACACATACTCTGCAAATCCTGCAATCACCATGTTGTTTATGAACCGAATGTCAATTTTGTTACGCGATTTTGATTTGACAATGCATCGACTCTTTAGTCCAGCCAAAATGTAACGCCGAGACTGGACTGGACTGGTGCAGTCAATTAACTCCCTTGCCTCAGGAAGATGGATGATGTTTGGCATAGATGATGGTGTTGATGTTGATGTTGATATGGCGTTGACAGAGACAATGCCGATGTGGACAATGGTGTTGATGCAATCTCATTAAAATCAGATCTAAGTTCTCGCTGCCGCTAAACAAAGATCTGAGGACATCCCATTAAGGGTCACGTCAGACAGACCTTGCGCGAACTTTGACCGACCAATGGAATGACCAATCAGAAGGCAGCTTTCTCGTGCTTTACGGCACTAATTTCAATTGCAGACTACATTTTGAAACATATTTTGACAAATTCTTGATTAAAAATATGAAACCTCAACAAAAGAACATTCTGGAATCGCTAATAGATGGTCCAGATTGTATGGATTCAGCCGTTAAACCCGTAACTATCGTTCAGAATACCCCGTGTTAAAGTTTTCGAGGATGCATGATTAGAAATCACATTCCGACTGTCACTTTCATGATCTGGTAAGCGACGCTCTGATTTGTTGGATGAAAGGTCGTTCTGACGTGACCCCTACTGGGATGTCCTCAGATCTTTGTTTAGCAATAGCAAGAACTAAGATTTGATTTTAATGAGATTGGTGTTGATGTAAACAATGAGATGAGATAAGATAATGCTTTATTATCCTGTGGAATTGTGTTTTTTAAGGTGTACGAAAATTCAGTTGAACAGCAATACACTGTTACAGCAGTTTACTATAAAACATGCATATGCACCCATACATGAATATATAAATAAATAAATTTAAATATATAAGATATATACAGTAAACTACGTTTATAACGAACACGCTTATAACGAACTGACGGATATAACAAACTTATTTTATAGTCCTGTCCATTTGCTGTTTATATGCTTATAACAAACTACTGTTTTGACGAACTAAAATTAGTGGTCCCTTTGAGGGCTTATAACCGTAGTTGACTGGATATAATATAAATATGTCGTCAGACAAAAGAGACATGTACATGTACCACAGAGAGATTAATGACCACTTGTGAGGTGAACTTAAGTTCGTATGTTGCGTGTCACCACTGAGCAGCGCCACCTAGCGATGACTTTATTCACTCACAAAAGGAAGTTAACGATGAAAGTCAAGTGTGTCAACTGTTGTTTGTTTCAGGATCGCCACCCTACACCAGTCCGTACAACAGCTCGCCGACCAGGCTCTGGTCCATCCCGTACAATGTGGATCACCGGGGCGACATGTCTACGTCCCCCTCCCCCTACAGACGAGCATCCCCCCACTCATGATCAAACACCAACGTAGCAGCAAGTTTACAAGTCCAGAACAAAGTCACCCGGAGGTGCTAAAACCATCAGATTTTGGAAGGAAACACAAAATGGTTCCAGTGTTGATTTCTGAATCTTGACAAACAACATATCATGGACCACCTCTCTTTGATGAAGTGGGGGGATCATGGATCCAGTTGTCCTAACTCAATCACTCACTCACTCATTCAAGAGGAAGGGAGGACTCCCTTGTTAATTTAACTTGTAGAATGACAACGATTTCATGGATTAACACTGGTGTTGCTGAAACCATGGTTACATGGATCATTATTAAACTTCATTATTGAACTGTGAAAGTTTGTACGAGGCAATCTGTGTCTTTCAGAGAAACATTGCTTTTGGTTAAGGAAATATGAGAGGTGGGAAAATCAGCATTTTATATATAGAAGGGTGATGAAATGGAAACCAAAAAATACTAAAATGTTTTAAGATATGTATTGTGTGATGTGTGTTTGAGGTGTGATGTACAGTGGGGGCGGGGCTACGATGATCTCACGCTGTATACATAGTTCATCGTTATTGTCGGATGTGCCAGGTTTAGCACATGCTTTCATGTTGAAGAGAATCAATGTACATGTGAAATTGTGTCCTTCATGCCTTATATTTTTGCCGGAAGTTTGACAAGAAATATGTCATAAAGGATATGCCATTTTCTTTCAAATTTTTAAGCATATTTATTTGTTCCACGCAGACTGACAAGATACTGACATTGTATTATACATTGTATTATACATTGTCATGTACATCATGTTACAAACATTTCCCAACCTGTGGAAAATTTGTCATTTGTTTGTGGAACAGGTTTCAGTGTGCCAGACTTGATTGTCCAGGAATAGCAGTGTACAAAAATGTTTCTTGCTTGCGAGATTGAGACGGTGGATATTGTGATATGGTTTGGAGATTAGAATTTTCAAGTCTGTTCAGAAGATAAATATTTGTCTGGTAAGATTTGTGTGACGTGAATGGATGTTCGTACATGTCATGAGAACACAATGCTGAAAGTGGTTCAGTTACATCATACAGCAAGCCTCTTTCTATGATCTCTGTGTTGAAGTCCACCATAACAAGACTGTTTTGAACAATAATACTAAATGTGTGTAATGTGGTTGTATAGCAGGTGACCAGACCTCCTACATCGGAGTAAGTCTGCCTGGGTACCTATCTTGAAAACACTGGCAACGAAGGCGACAGAACACTTGTGTGATCTTGAGACACACTGATGAACTTGAGACACACTGACAGTGAGACTGTGACACCTTGAAACACACTGACGACAGTGACACTGTGACCTTGAGACACACTGACGACAGTGACACTGTGACCTTGAGACACACTGAAGACAGTGAGACTGACCTTGGGACACACTGAAGACAGTGAGACTGTGACCTTGAAACACACTGACGACAGTGAGACTGTGACCTTGAGACACGCTGACGACAATGACACTGTGACCTTGAGACACACTGACGACAGTGACACTGTGACCTTGAGACACGCTGACGACAATGACACTGTGACCTTGAGACACACTGATGACAGTGAGACTGTGACCTTGAAACACACTGACGACAGTGACACTGTGACCTTGAGACATGCTGACGACAATGACACTGTGACCTTGAGACACGCTGACGACAATGACACTGTGACCTTGAGACACACTGAAGACAGTGAGACTGACCTTGAGACACACTGACGACAGTGACCTTGAGACACACTGACAGTGAGACTGTGACCTTGAGACACACTGACGACAGTGAGACTGTGACCTTGAGACACACTGATGACATTGATGGGGCAGCATGTTGAAGATGTCTGCTACAACATGACAGTCACATTTAGAATAATGTCTTGTATCAATACTGTCAAGAATTAGGTAAACTGAATCTTGGCATTTTTTAGTGTATTTTCAGAATTCCAGTCATGATTTTTACATTAGATCGTGTGAGAATTACGATGTTCAAATATGTGTTTGCTTGATTGGAAGTGATATGTGACAGATGAGAATTACCAGGGAATGGGTTGAGTGAAGAATGAGTCGCTGGTCTTCTGGTGTGTGAGACATGTTTGATAATGATGACTTGTATCTTGTATCGTGTAGTGATGTGTTATAGGATGTGTTTTCTGCTGTATTTATTTACATGTTCATTGTAAGTTTTGTACAGACGGAAATGAAGAGTTTCAATGTACGTAGGATTGATTTGTTTTGTAAGGACAGCCTTGTGGCGTCTGGTGAGGGCTGACTCTTTAGTGGTAGTGGATGTCGGAAGTGGATGTCGCCCCGGCTTCATCAGCACAACATGCACAACGTGTGTCAGTGATGCTACACATACAAGATCCCCGCCCAATCTTCCCTTACCAACAATGACTCATGGTCACATTATTCCGCTCTAGAATCAACAATACCTTTTCCCGGTCTCTTTAAACTGTAAAGTTCGAGTTTGAGACCCAGGTTTCATACCTGACATTGATACGTGTGAAGCGCACCCATCACTGGGATATTCCACACAGACAGTTAGTTCAGTAATTTAGGCATCAAGGCCCATAGCACAATGCAGATTTGTCACGTGGTGTACATGATTAGATTTTAAATCTAGTTACACATTCCTCATTATAAAGACATGTTTTAATGAATACAGTAACAGCATGGGTCATATCAGGATTTTCAGAGTTTTAGCAGATTTATCATTAACTGACGGTCTTTAGAAATACCTTGCAACATGGGGAGAAATGTAAACCTTAAATGGGAATACGCTTCACAGTGTAAGTAGCAAGTAAGACATGGTATTCATCCTCTACTTCTCCGGATGAACAGTTTGTACAAAAAGAGATCACAATATCATCGTCTTTGGACTTTCAACATACATTTACATTAAAAATTGTGCAAAGAAATTCTAACTTTACAATAAGCTCTAATTTTACCAAGGTAAAACGCAACTCAATAATTTTCACTAAGTCTCTATTGTTTCTCTATGTGCTGTAATCTATATTACATACTCCTCTTCAAAGAGCTGGAGAACTCACATACTTTTCATGAAATGTCAGTGACAAAATCTGATCCCAAAAATACTTTCTATTTTCATAAATAATTCCAGTCATTCATTTTATATTAACTGGTAAGACTTCTTGCCTTCCAGTAATTGATATGAAGCATTACCAACTTGTCCTTTTCAAATGAACAGTTGTATTTATTTTTATTTTTATTTTAATCTCAGTGCTGGTTTTTGTACAAATAGTGAAGGCCACAGCTTTGTTCCCTACCTATCATTTCAGTATTGACTTATGCAGGTTTTTACTTTTATATCTCCAATTCAAACTCAATTATAATTGATAAGTACGTCAACAATGATAAAATTCCTGCTGCTTATTTGATTATGAACACTCAATAAATATAGACAACTATACATAGTCAGTGACATCATTAAGCGCAAAAATGCAGCACAAGCCACGCTCATTCTGTTATCAGCCAATCATTAAAAAGTAGTTCGTAAGTGGGTGTTTTTTGTTTTCTTTCTTTCTTCTTTTTTTTCAGGTTGGGAAACAAATGCAAACAAAACATGTACACTTTATTAGCCATTGCTTAATTAACCAATCAAATGAAATTTCTTGCCGCTTATTTTTATATGTATATATGTATTACATACTTCCTAAATACCAAATCAGACTCCTCAGGTATGTTGTGTTTCTAGTGGATGAAGTGAATACCAAAGGATGCTAGCACTGCCAGGGGAGGCAACTTTGCCTGTGTTCCCAGTGTTGAGGTCAGTTAATATTTTACTCAATGATCATGTCAATCATAGTCATCGTCATCGCTTTGTTTGTACATTTCTTTGTCTTGTCAATAACACATTTCCTGGTTGATTTGTTCTTTTTGTTCTTGGTGTGAATAAACGATGCCCATTTCTTCCCAGTCAGGGTTTTTTATTCGTTTTTAGATGAAGTGATTCACTTAATGATGGTGTTGTTCTGTCTGGTAGTATGAGTACATTGTGATGATACAAACGTGTTTTACTCAAGTCGAGGTGTGGGAAGTGGTGGCCCAGCCATCTGTGTTGAGAATTGCAGCCCTTTAACCCTTTGATCCTGTGTTGAAATCCAAGACACATCCTGATTGTGTTTCTGGGTTTACTGGCACCAGACCATGCTCATGCTTCACCACAGTGGAACTAATAGTTACTATAGACCTGCACCACTTGGGCTTTCTTCACACCCCAAACTGACACCACAGTGGGAACTATAGACCGGCAATCACTTGGGCTTTCTTCACACCCCAAACTGACACCACAGTGGGAACAATAGACCTGCATCACTTGGGCTTTCTTCACACACCAAACTGACACCATTGTGGGAACTATAGACCTGCATCACTTGGGCTTTCTTCACACACCAAATGACACCACAGTGGGAACTATAGACCTGCATCACTTGGGCTTTCTTCACACACCAAACTGACACCACAGTGGGAACTATAGACCGGCAATCACTTGGGCTTTCTTCACACCCCAAACTGACACCACAGTGGGAACAATAGACCTGCATCACTTGGGCTTTCTTCACACACCAAACTGACACCATTGTGGGAACTATAGACCTGCATCACTTGGGCTTTCTTCACACACCAAACTGACACCACAGTGGGAACTATAGACCTGCATCACTTGGCCTTTCTTCACACACCAAACTGACACCACAGTGGAACTATAGACCTGCATCACTTGGGCTTTCTTCACACACCAAACTGACACCACAGTGGGAACTATAGACCTGCATCACTTGGGCTTTCTTCACACACCAAACTGACACCACAGTGGAACTATAGACCTGCATCACTTGGGCTTTATTCACACCCCAAACTGACACCACTGTGGGAACTATAGACCTGCATCACTTGGGCTTTCTTCACACCCCAAACTGACACCACAGTGGGAACTATAGACCTGCATCACTTGGGCTTTCTTCACACCCCAAACTGGCACCACAGTGGGAACTTTTGACCTGCATCACTTGGGCTTTCTTCACACACCAAACTGGCACCACAGTGGGAACTATAGACCTGCATCACTTGGGCTTTCTTCACACACCAAACTGACACCACAGTGGGAACTATAGACCTGCATCACTTGGGCTTTCTTCACTCCCCAAACTGGCACCACAGTGGGAACTTTTGACCTGCATCACTTGGGCTTTCTTCACACACCAAACTGGCACCACAGTGGGAACTATAGACCTGCATCACTTGGGCTTTCTTCACACACCAAACTGACACCACAGTGGGAACTATAGACCTGCACCACTTGGGCTTTCTTCACACACCAAACTGGCACCACAGTGGGAACTATAGACCTGCATCACTTGGGCTTTTTTCACACACCAAACTGACACCACAGTGGGAACTATAGACCTGCATCACTTGGGCTTTCTTCACACACCAAACTGACACCACAGTGGGAACTATAGACCGGCAATCACTTGGGCTTTCTTCACACCCCAAACTGACACCACAGTGGGAACAATAGACCTGCATCACTTGGGCTTTCTTCACACACCAAACTGACACCATTGTGGGAACTATAGACCTGCATCACTTGGGCTTTCTTCACACACCAAACTGACACCACAGTGGGAACTATAGACCTGCATCACTTGGGCTTTCTTCACACACCAAACTGACACCACAGTGGGAACTATAGACCGGCAATCACTTGGGCTTTCTTCACACCCCAAACTGACACCACAGTGGGAACAATAGACCTGCATCACTTGGGCTTTCTTCACACACCAAACTGACACCATTGTGGGAACTATAGACCTGCATCACTTGGGCTTTCTTCACACACCAAACTGACACCACAGTGGGAACTATAGACCTGCATCACTTGGGCTTTCTTCACACACCAAACTGACACCACAGTGGAACTATAGACCTGCATCACTTGGGCTTTCTTCACACACCAAACTGACACCACAGTGGGAACTATAGACCTGCATCACTTGGGCTTTCTTCACACACCAAACTGACACCACAGTGGAACTATAGACCTGCATCACTTGGGCTTTCTTCACACCCCAAACTGACACCACAGTGGGAACTATAGACCTGCATCACTTGGGCTTTCTTCACATCCCAAACTGACACCACTGTGGGAACTATAGACCTGCATCACTTGGGCTTTCTTCACACACCAAACTGGCACCACAGTGGGAACTATAGACCTGCATCACTTGGGCTTTCTTCACACACCAAACTGACACCACAGTGGGAACTATAGACCTGCACCACTTGGGCTTTCTTCACACACCAAACTGACACCACAGTGGGAACTATAGACCTGCATCACTTGGGCTTTTTTCACACACCAAACTGACACCACAGTGGGAACAATAGACCTGCATCACTTGGGCTTTCTTCACACACCAAACTGACACCACAGTGGGAACTATAGACCGGCAATCACTTGGGCTTTCTTCACACCCCAAACTGACACCACAGTGGGAACAATAGACCTGCATCACTTGGGCTTTCTTCACACCCCAAACTGACACCACTGTGGGAACTATAGACCTGCATCACTTGGGCTTTCTTCACACCCCAAACTGACACCACAGTGGGAACTATAGACCTGCATCACTTGGGCTTTCTTCACACCCCAAACTGGCACCACAGTGGGAACTTTTGACCTGCATCACTTGGGCTTTCTTCACACACCAAACTGGCACCACAGTGGGAACTATAGACCTGCATCACTTGGGCTTTCTTCACACACCAAACTGACACCACAGTGGGAACTATAGACCTGCATCACTTGGGCTTTCTTCACACCCCAAACTGGCACCACAGTGGGAACTTTTGACCTGCATCACTTGGGCTTTCTTCACACACCAAACTGGCACCACAGTGGGAACTATAGACCTGCATCACTTGGGCTTTCTTCACACACCAAACTGACACCACAGTGGGAACTATAGACCTGCATCACTTGGGCTTTCTTCACACACCAAACTGGCACCACAGTGGGAACTATAGACCTGCATCACTTGGGCTTTTTTCACACACCAAACTGACACCACAGTGGGAACTATAGACCTGCATCACTTGGGCTTTCTTCACACACCAAACTGACACCACAGTGGGAACTATAGACCGGCAATCACTTGGGCTTTCTTCACACCCCAAACTGACACCACAGTGGGAACAATAGACCTGCATCACTTGGGCTTTCTTCACACACCAAACTGACACCATTGTGGGAACTATAGACCTGCATCACTTGGGCTTTCTTCACACACCAAACTGACACCACAGTGGGAACTATAGACCTGCATCACTTGGGCTTTCTTCACACACCAAACTGACACCACAGTGGGAACTATAGACCGGCAATCACTTGGGCTTTCTTCACACCCCAAACTGACACCACAGTGGGAACAATAGACCTGCATCACTTGGGCTTTCTTCACACACCAAACTGACACCATTGTGGGAACTATAGACCTGCATCACTTGGGCTTTCTTCACACACCAAACTGACACCACAGTGGGAACTATAGACCTGCATCACTTGGGCTTTCTTCACACACCAAACTGACACCACAGTGGAACTATAGACCTGCATCACTTGGGCTTTCTTCACACACCAAACTGACACCCCAGTGGGAACTATAGACCTGCATCACTTGGGCTTTCTTCACACACCAAACTGACACCACAGTGGAACTATAGACCTGCATCACTTGGGCTTTATTCACACCCCAAACTGACACCACAGTGGGAACTATAGACCTGCATCACTTGGGCTTTCTTCACACCCCAAACTGACACCACTGTGGGAACTATAGACCTGCATCACTTGGGCTTTCTTCACACCCCAAACTGACACCACAGTGGGAACTATAGACCTGCATCACTTGGGCTTTCTTCACACCCCAAACTGGCACCACAGTGGGAACTTTTGACCTGCATCACTTGGGCTTTCTTCACACACCAAACTGGCACCACAGTGGGAACTATAGACCTGCATCACTTGGGCTTTCTTCACACACCAAACTGACACCACAGTGGGAACTATAGACCTGCACCACTTGGGCTTTCTTCACACACCAAACTGGCACCACAGTGGGAACTATAGACCTGCATCACTTGGGCTTTTTTCACACACCAAACTGACACCACAGTGGGAACAATAGACCTGCATCACTTGGGCTTTCTTCACACACCAAACTGACACCACAGTGGGAACTATAGACCGGCAATCACTTGGGCTTTCTTCACACCCCAAACTGACACCACAGTGGGAACAATAGACCTGCATCACTTGGGCTTTCTTCACACACCAAACTGACACCATTGTGGGAACTATAGACCTGCATCACTTGGGCTTTCTTCACACACCAAACTGACACCACAGTGGGAACTATAGACCGGCAATCACTTGGGCTTTCTTCACACACCAAACTGACACTACAGTGGGAACTATAGACCGGCAATCACTTGGGCTTTCTTCACACACCAAACTGACACCACAGTGGGAACTATAGACCTGCATTACTTGGGCTTTCTTCACACACCAAACTGACACCACAGTGGGAACTATGGACCTGCATCACTTGGCCTTTCTTCACACACCAAACTGACACCACAGTGGGAACTATAGACCTGCATCACTTGGGCTTTTTTCACACACCAAACTGACACCACAGTGGGAACTATAGACCTGCATCACTTGGGCTTTCTTCACACACCAAACTGACACCACAGTGGGAACTATAGACCTGCACCACTTGGGCTTTCTTCACACACCAAACTGGCACCACAGTGGGAACTATAGACCTGCATCACTTGGGCTTTTTTCACACACCAAACTGACACCACAGTGGGAACTATAGACCTGCATCACTTGGGCTTTCTTCACA